TGTAGGGAGGGGAGACCCTCGAGGAGGTGACATCCTCGGGGAATGTGACACCTTTGACGGAGGTGACACCCTCGGTGGAGGCGACATCCTCGGGGAATGTAACATCCTCGACGGAGGCAATAGTCGACGGTGCTCCTAAAAAAAGAAACATTACAAATCAATAACTTAATTAAAAAATTATAATGATAATCAACATATTATATTCAATTAACATACCGTGTCCCGATCGACGATGGACTCAGGCCTCTCTCGAGCAGCACGATCTGTCAACAACTCACAGATATAAGTCTGATCCTCCTCCTCGATCGATGGTGTCAGCTCAGTGAGGACTTCAAGCTGACATATTGACATTTCATCGAATTACTGACCACGTATCCAGCTTCGAAAATGACATACGACAGAATGCGCAAATATATAATACGTAGTTCAGGATCGTCTAGGATAACTGATAGCTGTTTTACAAGGGGCTTGTCTTGTGCTCGCCAGCGGTGCATCCGAGGGATGCATGTATCCCCTCTCCTCGCATACCGACCAACCAGGATGGGAACAGTCTCGTAGACCCATATCTACAATAATTACGATTATTATATGTACAATTTAATAAAAAAATGGATAGCGCATTATGTTAAACATTTACCTGCAAAGCTAACGGCAGGCAATATACATCATACTTTGCTCCGACCTATCTCCCCTAGGCATTGAATGCCCCCTCCTGAAGACGTGTAAAGTATCACAAAAGCATCTCTCCCCCCACGGATAGCTGTTGAACATATCGATGTCATCAACAACTTGCAAATAAAAAACGTCAATCGACGTCTTCCTGTGATGACACCTCTGTACGCTCTCTAGTATAAACACTATCCCCAACTTTAACTTGTCGGACATCTGGTCGCATTCCCTGAATGCATCTCCTAACTGCGCCAGTGTCACTGTCGTGTGCCTATTAAAATAATCATTCAGCAGCCTCTTGTCTGTCGAAATACTGGCCCTCGCTGCCTCTTCGCTCGTACATCTTAATCTAGTGATGAGGGCAAATTCGAATATAGAAAATGTAGCAACCTTGCCCCCAAGATCAAAGTGGAGGGCATCTCCATCAATTGGCTTAAGCAGCCGACACAATAATGAATCGATCAACTGTCCAGAGAACTGTATAGATCGCAGTGAATGCAGGGGCCATAGGTAAGATCGACGTAATATCTCTGCGTGCTCGTCATCCAATGAATCCAACACTGCTGTGAAGATGGCAAACTTACGTCGAACATTGCTAGGAACTTGTCTCAAGGCTGCGTCCAAATGGTAATCCATCCTACAAAATTTCAAATGTTACAACATTTGAAATATAATGTCACAAAATTCAACTAACCGAATTGTAAGTAATATACGCACGAAATAACAGATAATAAAGAAAATATTAAAAGTTACACACAACAACTTATAAAAAAGGGAAAAATTAATTTTTATAAAATTATTTATTTCATAGTTTATTTTAATCCATGTTGGAAATTTATTTCAATTCTTTATTTGATTAAATTTGATTATTTATATTTAATTACATATAAATTATTTTGAAAATTTATATTTCTTACTTATTTAAATTGTTTATTTTTATTTAAATGTTAATTATTTATTTCAGTTGTTTATCTAAATTATTTATTTCGATTGTTTATTTGTTTATTTAACATTTATTTTAATTGTTTATTGAATGCTTAATTTTAATTATTTACTACAATTGTATATTTAATTATTTTCTTTAAATTATTTATTGAACATTTAAACGTAAATATGTAATTATTTGTTATATTTTTCTTTAGTTGTTTATTCAATTTTTATTTTAATTATTAAGCGAATATTCAATTATTTATTTTAAATGTTAGATATTTATTTCAATTGTTTATCTACATTTTAATTACTTACTTTGATTTTTTTTATCCAATTATTTTTCATTTAATTGTTTCAATTGTTCATTTAAATTATTTGATTTAATTACTTATATTGATCGATTATTTACATTATTTATTGAATAAGAGCAAAAACAAATATTTCATTATTTATTTCAAATGTTAGAAATTTATTTCAATTAAACATTAATTAATATTTTGATTATTAACATTTATTCATTTATCATTTAAATAATCATTTAATTATTATTTAAATGTTAATTATTTATTTTTGTGCATTTTAATTAATTATTTATTCCAATTATTTTTCATTTATTTGTTTCAATTGTTCATTTAAATTATTTGATTTAATTACTTATATGAATCGATTATTTAAATTATTTATTGAACAAGCAAAGGTAAATATTTAATTATTCATTTCAAATGTTAAAAATTTATTTCAATTAAACATTAATTAATATTTTGATTATTAGCATTTATTCATTTATTATTTGAATAATCATTTAATTATTATTTAAATGTTCATTATTTATTTTTGTGCGTTTCAATTAATTATTTATTCAAATTGTTTTTCATTTATTTGTTTCAATTGTTCATTTAAATTATTTGATTTAATTACTTATATGGAAAGATTATTTAAATTATTTATTAAACAAGAAAACGTAATTATTTAATTCAAATGTTAGAAATTTGTATCAATTAGATTTTAATTGCGTATTTTGATTAATAAAATTATTTATTTATCATTTAAATAATCATTTAATTATTATTTAAATATTCATTATTTATTTTTGTGAGAAATTAATTATTTATTCCAATGATTTTTCATTTAAATTATTTGATTATTTAAATTATTTATTGAACAAGTAAACGTAAATATTTAATTATTTATTTCAAATGTTAGAAATTTCTTTCAATTAATCTATAATTAAATTTTAATTGTGTATTTTGATTATTAACAAATATTCATTATTTATATTTTTCTTTTATCATTTAAATAATAATTAAATAATTATTTAAATGTTAAAAAAATTAAATTAAAAAATTATTCTACAGACAGTCCAAACAAGCAGTCTGTTAACAGACGACCTGGGTCGTCTTAACAAACGGCACATGTCGTCTATTAACAGACGGCCATCTGTGGCCGTCTGCAAGAGACAACCTCTGCCCGGATTCCGGTGATCTCCGGCAACAAAATCTTAAAAAACTTTGTTTTTACTAATTTTACATATTCTACAAAGATTTCTGTCACTATTTTCAACAAAATAAACCTTTAACATATATTAATGGGGGAAATTTTTCATGCAAAACTTATTTTCTTCATTTCTAATGGTGGCCAGTCGGTCTCCTCCCAAGAAAAGCTCGTCCGTTTCCTTGTTTTTTCTTTCCCTTCTTTTTCCAGACGTCGGTTTAAGAGTGAAATGTCAGGAGCAATTTTGGATTTTCAACGTTTATACAAATTTTTGATTTTTTTAAATAGTGGTCAACGACTATTTTAAAAAATTGTATATTTTTTGTGGCTATCTACCACTGTTTCATCCGTTTTGGTTGCAATTGAATTGAACTAAAGTGATTGGATTGGGGCAAATTGAAATTCAGTGCCTTAACTGCAGTTGGAGAGGAAGTTTGGTGATTACAAGTGAAATTAAGCTGTATATAAATTCCTAACCCTAGTTCTTCACCCTCGCCCGCCGCCTTTGGCCATCGGCCTTGAATCCAAATGGTGCTCTGGGAAGTTCCCTCGTGAATTCCGGTCACAGCCCTATCCATGCTGTATAAAAAAAGGTGTTCTTGCTCAGTGCTCTATATATCTCCTGTTAATACGAATATAGTAGTGTATAGCGGATTGGGTGAGTTATATTTTAATTTCTACTTAATAAATTTTGGATTTGGGATAATAACTCAATTTCGATATCTTACTGAAATTATCTGGATTCAGCAACTTCCTCTGTCAATGAATTCTTTATTTTTTGCTTGATTTTGATTTATGTTTTGCTTATGATATATCTATTCTCTGTGCATAGTTGGTGATCAAAATTTCATGATTATACCACTCTTCATAAAATGTTTATAGTGGAAGAGCAAGAGGCATTTCAGGGGTTTTTAATAGTACGTCGTACGTGGTTGCCTTTTAGCAGAAGGCAAGATGACATGGGGAATCCGGGATTGGGGCGGGACTTTCTGGAATATACATTTAGCGCTGGGTTCATTTTTCTGAAAAGCCGTAGGCGGATTCTCTGAAGCTAATTTGTTTAGTGCACCTAGATTTGGATCTATTTATGAGGGAGTGGTGGCAAAGAGGGAAGGAAGTCATTGGCAGTGCGGTAGGAGGAGGTGGCAAATTTTGGTGGGAAGAAGACAATTCTTTTTCTTCTTTTACCCTTTCTAATAATTTTTACTCCCTTCTTAGGCTTGCTTCTATTTTCATACAGATTAAGAAATTCTAATTAATATAGTTGGAATAATAAATTATATTTACGTTTTCCTAATATATGGTACATATAGAGTAGTTCATATTGGTTGATAATGAGGTACATTTAGACAATTAAGAAATTAATTATACTTGACAAGGAAAGTGGCCTATAATTTGGGACGAATGAGTAAAAAGTAAGCATATTTTTTATGGATGGAAAGAATTTAGAGTTGAATAAGGGAGAAAAATCTTGGTGTATTAATTGAGTGAACACTAAGTGACTGAATGTGATTGAAATTTCATGCTGTCCGAGACTTTAGGACCTGCTTATTTCCCAAAAGATCATTTATTATTGCCTGTTTTTTGAATTATTAAATCCTCCAAGTATTATTTTCTAATTTAACATTTGTGAATTCCAGGTGTTGTGTTTGAAGTCAGATCAAATTGAGCTACAAGTTTCCTAAGCTTTCTTTTGTTTAAGTTAACATTGGTGAATGCCCACAAAAATGCAGCATATTCGCTACACACCCACTGTTCATACCTAAAGAGATGGTGGAAGGGTTGATGAAATGTTTGGTGCTAGATGAGAATGACTACATGACTGACTGCCAAGACTCTTGAAAATATTGCACAAAAATTACCCTTTTTTTTTTTCTTTTTTTTTTTTGGGGGGGGGGGGGGGGTGTTGCTATGAGCTGGTATCCCTGGGAATATAAAGCCCTACACTTTTTTCCTAGTAAAATGAGAGAAAAGTTAACACATACCTTCGTCCAAGAAAAGAGTAAATCGAGAGAGTCACGTCATTCTAATTTTTAACCAATACCCTCTTTACTTTTGGACCACCTGTAATCATTGTTTAGACTCTAGATTCTGAAATGCTAGGGCCAGTTATTCTTGTGGCAATATTCGAGTAAGCAATGTGCACTTCCTACCTATATTGCAGAGACCTACAGCTGTTTCCACCATTGCCTTGGCCCCATGGTTTTGTACAAAGCCTCATTATTTAAGTTTTTGCAGTGTAGCTTCAGAGATTTCAAAAGTGGGCATCCTTTAGCTACAATAAGCAAGTTTCTGTTGTGAACGATATTTGAATATAATGATAAAGTTTCAAGGGATCTGCAGTCAATTGCTATGGCATGTAGTAAGAGGACATGTGATGAACTTCAAGATAACTCGACAAACATTATAGAGCTTTTTCAACGCCTTGATTTTAGCCATGATGCTTGGTCACTCAATTGCAAACATGGCTTGGCTCTTATGCCCTCTGGACTGGAACATTTGTGCGACTGCATTTCTATCCCAGCCAAATTGGTAAGTTTTAAGTTAGTTTAATATGGTATTGAAGCAAATAAAGGTTGTTTGTTCAATTCTTACCATCAACTGTTTGTAAGGAGTCCACTTGTAGGCCTTTGATGAAAAAGTAAATTTTGTGAACATGTGAGAGGATGTGTTGAAAATGAACTATCAACATATAAACAATAAATTCTTTCGCTCTAAAATAGCTTAAGCTTTTAGTTGCGGTGTTCGACTAATACTTTGCCTAGAGAAAGTTGGATCCATCTGCTTGCTCCACAAGAAGCTAATAGAAGTTGCAAAAACAAATTGTCTAATGTTGTGGCCATGCTTCTTTAAAAATTTACAATATCAAAAGGTTCTTGTTTTCGGAATTTTTGAAAATTTCAATTTATTGTAGTTCTTTGAGAATTAGGAAGATAGAAATCTCTTTTTACTTTGCTATTGTTGCATGTAATTATGATAAAAACCGGAAATTAAATTCCAGTGTTATTTTGTTTAAATGTCTAGTTTGTTTTTCATGATCCAGGTGAGAGAACGTTGCATGAATTGGTCTTCTCTTGCTGCTCAAAGTATCTTGAGCAAAAGAGGTTGGGAACATGTGGTTTATCAGATTCTGGTTTCTGATTTGGCTGTTGCTGGAAATGGATTTATCAAATTTAAAGTGTGATATGGTGCTCTTAACGTAAGAGATGTAGGGCTATGATCTGTTGATAAATGTAAATTGGTGGTGCGTGAATTTGTAAGTGATGACCCAGAATTATACTTGTAGTTTTGTATATCCTTTGAATAATCATTCTATTGGAGCGATACTTCAGATTGGATCAGAATATTGTCACACTATCTCAAAATCAGGCTTTTCTATTTGCACATTGGTAGTTGTTCGGTAATGGGATCTAGAATCCCTCTGCATATTTGCTTAGGCTATGGTACAAGGGATTCGCATGGAAAGGGACATGGGAGTGGAAAATAACCTCTGAATAGAGTGGAGATTTTTACATGCTTGACTGGAGGATTTGAATTTGCTGTTTTTCGAAGGTTTGACTTGCATGGGATTGGGCTAGCCCCTGGTTGTGAAAATCACATGGACTTGCTGCTGCTGTTTCTGATGTTTCATTAGAAGCCATGTCAATTTAGTGTAGATCTCTTGAAACTTATCATTACATTCTGAATTCATCCACAACAGAGTCTTGCTTGTTGCAGCTAAAGGATGCCCTCTATTGAAATCTTTGAAGCTACGATGCAAAAACGTAATTGATGAGGCTTTGTACAAAACCTTGGGGACAATGATGCACTAGGCGAAGGCTGTCCTAAGGGAATTGATGTTATCCCATTGTATGTGGATACACACGTAGGTCTCAGCTATATAGCTAGGAACTGTACAATACTGGAATATAGCCAAATGGTTTTGTTCTCGTGGCATTTGAGAACCTGGAGTCTTACCGTTATTGTGAGTTGAGAATAAAGATGGTATCCGTTCAGAAGTTAGCTTGAGGACCAAATGTGTGGAAAACTATGTTACAGAAGGCTACGTTCTTCATCGAGAAGTTTTGGATGCTGGGCATGTTTCAAGCAATTTTGCCTTCAATAAGTTGATGTCTTCATTTTGCAAGAGAATAGATTATGCAAAAGTTTGTTTTTCGTCGTACTATGATTGCAAAGAATTGTTCTCCTGATAATACACACTTTTCAGGAAGTTATTCATGTTTTATGCAAAAGAAGGATGGGGCATGAAGGTTTTGAACTTCATGTGATCACTTGCAATTCTTTGATTCAAGGCTCTTGCAAGAAAAGAAGATATGGAGGGTATGTACTTACTTGATGAGCTTCTAAAGCAGGATTTGCTCAGGATTTGCTGCCATCTGATGTGTTGATTGCAAACTTTGCAAGCTACAAATGTGGTGGAAGCAAAAACATCGTGTAAAGATTTGTTAGATAGGGTGTGATACTGGCGATTTGTGCTTATAATTTCATTTTAATTGGACTGAGTGAGCAATGAAATGTTGTAGAAGGGATGGAGTGGATGGGCAATATGCTTAAGAGTAAGCTTGAGCCAAGGAAGAACACTTTTGAGAGACTCATCCAATGTTTTTTCTGAAGGTTGAGTGATGCTTTATTTGTTTTAGATCTTCAGCAACACTTTTGCAGGGCCTCTGTGCTATTGGCAAAGGCTGTAAAAAGTTGGAAAAATCTTATCTTGAAAATTGCTACGTTCTGGGTAGGATGTGTTTAGATTCTGTAACTGTTGGTTACACTGAGCTTTTGTGTCTTGAAGTCAATGGCTGCCGTACAATTGGAATACGCAGACTGAAATTCACTGGAAAATCCTGCATGGAAGCATTTTGACTGCCTCCTTTCTTTCACTCACTTCCCCTGACACCACCATAACTCGTGCTTGCTTTCTCATTTTGTCAAGTGAACTGCTGTCTCTCTCTCTAATGTTGTGCTGAGTTGTCTTGCCGTACAATTGTTAGCAACCTCCCCTTCCCCAATCCTTCCATACTAGACTTGAACCCATGATCACTTTGGCAAGAACCTTAATCATTTCTAACTGCTGCTCTTAACTCCTTTTTATACCATTGTCTTGCTTTGCTGTTTTTATTAATTCGCCTGATGTTTCACATTATTTACAGTTTTGTGGGCTTGGACTATGTAATGCAGCCGCCCTTTCTAAGTTAGTCTTGCTGCAATTAGGGGAGTAAAAAATGATGCACTATGTGGCATGGGCTGCGAGCTCTTCATTTGGTATAGTGCTCAGTTATTTGGGATGACGGCATTATAGTATAGCTAGAGGGTGCAGAAACTCAAAGAAGCTCCTTATTCACCAATGTGCATTGGGTACTTCTTTCTCCTTCCTGTTTCTAGTGTATCACATTTGGAGTCCTTAAGTTTACCCCGATTTTATCATGTAGTGATCATTATTGTACCACACTAGCTACCTACATTTCTTTGGCTGAGGTCAAACCATTTTTTATCAATGTTTTTCTGGGGATCCATAAGTATTACCCACTTATCTACTATATCTGTTTCCATGAGCCCATCTGTTTATAAACACTTGGCAAACATATCCTTCATGAGACGTTCAAATTTTTTGCATGTAGTATTGTCCGTTAAAGTTAACAGTCATTCTATGTGTAGAGCTGGGCTGAATCTCAAATTTTTAGATGTACAAAGTTGCATGCGTCTCTACTCATCTGTAGTGTTTTCTTTCTATTTGTACAGAACCTTGGCGACACGAAAATGTTGGTACTAGGTGAAGGCTGTCCATTACTGAAGGAATTGGCAGTGTCTCAATTTTTGCAACTAACAATGAAATAGGTCTCGGTTCAATGGCTAGTAACCTCATATCACTGGAAGAATGCAAAAATGATTTATTTCCCAGGTATTTCAGAATCTGGAATTGAAGTGGCAAGTAAAAGTTGTCCAGAAATCGAAAGGGCATCAGTTGTGAAGTGTATAGTTAGCTGAGGATCAAATGTCAGGCTGTATCCATAATCTCTCTGATAAATTGTCAATTTTTTCGAACCCAACAAACACATTTGCAGGAGAAAAACATTTAATTGCGGGTGTGGAGCTGATAGCATTTTGAAGTGGAGTTGTTCCTTGTGAGGGATCTCTGGATTCCCTTGAGTAAGCTTTGTTTGTTATGTCTGTTGCATCAATTGTACTTGTGTCTTATTTTATTCTCAAGGGATGCAACTTTTGACAAATCTTAATATTGTTAATTCAGCATTTGTTTAATGGATTCTTATCTGTATATTTAAGAGTTGGTTTACTATCTAATATTCGATATATTCAAGTTGTTTTGGAATTTCAGATTTTTCATGTGCATGATATCCACAAGGTTCAAATAAATGTTGTCAAATATTGGAATTGATATTAATTTTGAAGAATACATGGGGACTCGACCTCCTAGTGCTTTGTTCATTATTGAGTATTCAGAAATGCTTTCCAACACGTGTTAGCTTAGAAGTTAGATTAATTAGCAAATACAATCCAGCTTATCTTAATTGGGTGATTAGATTAAAGTTACATACTTTATTACTTTCCACAATAATCTTCACTTGCGGGATTTTAATGCAACCACCACCACCACCACCACCACCCCTCCTTTCTCACTTCCAAAGGTTGTCTTCTTGAATCTCTAAATCTAGAGTGCAGAAACATAGAGGGTGAGGCTTTGCAAGCTATTGAAGTTTTTGTTTATTGTCAGTCATTGGCTCTACACAGCTGTGGGAAAACAACAAACAAGTTAGTTATCCTTTTATTACTTTAGAAATATGGAACCCCTATCCCCTTTGGAATTCTAATGCCATTAGTTTAAATATTCTCTTTTTAATTGTTATCCTTTCTGTACTTTGATGTAGAGAAGCTTTGATAAAATGAGGTTTAGGTTATTGTGCTGTCTTGATGTGGGTCTAAGAGAAATAATCTCAGTTCAACCACCAAGCATTTCAGAGAGAATAGTGATGAGCAACTGCTATTTCCTATGGTTAGTTAGAGCTTCAGAGAGAATAAACTTCCAAAAAACTTCACTCCCATCCATAGTTTGGCCCTTAAGACAGACTATGGATGGAATTCTTTGCTTTAGGCATTGAGTTCTGGGGTTACACTTATAGCCATGGGACAGCGGGTAGACCAAATGACTATGGCAAAACTTATTGACGACGACTTTAAAGTAGGAATATGCATTAAAGCCGATGAAAATGTGTTGGTTAGTAGAGAAGATGTCTAAATGTGTATAAAAGAAGTTATTTGAGGAGAAGGGAAGATGGTCAAAGAAAGTGCTGTTAAGTGGAAGGAATTGGCTAAAGAGGCCATAGATAAAGGTGGAAGTTATGCTACCAACGATGAAGAATTTATTTCAGAACACTTGGATTTATAACTTAAATCCTTTACAGATAGTAGCTAGAATGGAAAATAATTTCAGAATTAAAGGTAAAATTTGGAAAGAACTCAAATAAGCCTGAAAAGTTAAAAATCCTGCCCAAACTTAGCTCCTGTTTTTTTACCTCTTGGCCTGCAAAAATCATATTTGCTGATGCCAACATTGTGGCTACAGGCACACAATGACAGTTGTGAACAAATTAGCCTATGTCTCTTTGTAATCATCCATTCATTGTACAATGTAATATGTCTCTTTTTGATATCTAATCTCCGCATAAATATAATTTTCCATTAATGTCGCAACCTATTATTTTCTTTGTTGATATTATGTAAGAAATCCGAAGTGAATTTGAAATGTTTTGAAAATCGAACAAGACAACAACTTCAACTGGAAAAAACTTGGCTACCAACCCAAAACTCGGACCCAGACCGGCTATAAGTTATATATGCCTGATCAGAGAGCAACTTCGACTAGAATTTCTGCTACCAACGTTGAAGATTTTATTTCGATACATTTGAATTTGTAACTTAATCTACAGAAAGTAGCTAGGATGGAAAATAATTTCAGAATTAAAGGTAAAATTTGGAAAGAAATCGAAATAAGCCTAAACTTTGCTCCTGTTTCATGCCTCTTGACCTATTACAATCATATTTGCTGATGCCAACTTGGGTCATTCCTGACACAACATTGTGGCTAATGTATCTTTGAAATATGTTTCTTTCTTGATATTAAAGAAAGAAATCCAATGTGAATTTGGAATGTTTTGAAAATCGAACAAGACTGACAACTTCAATTGATAAAAATTGGCAACCAACACAACCCAAACTGACTATAAGCTATATATGCTCGATGAGCCAGCAACATCGACTAGTAACCGGCTCATTTTCCTTCTCCAATTCATTACCACTTACCAGGGTCGAGTTTAAAAACTATGTTAATTTGGAAGCATTGAATTCTTCCTGTCCCTTGTTGCCAATGCCACCCCTATGTCATCTAAAACTGCAGCCATTCACTATCTGTCCATTTTAAGAAGAACAACATTATCTTGAAGTACCTCATGTTGGGCAGAAGTTTACTATTTTTAGCAGAAATACAACTGAATCCCTGTGTACAGTTTCATAAGCCTACAAAATACGCGCCAGCAGAGTCCATTCCTCGGGCCACCTCTCAAGGCGTGCATTCGGGCATTTACGAGGCCTCGAACTTAATCTCTCAATAAATAGTGCATTTCATATGATCTAAAGAAAGAGTAATGTTATGTAGCCCAACCGGTAAGCACCTGCGTGTGTCAATTAAATTATTGAACGTCTTCATTCACTTAATGCTACATAGTTGATACTTAGATTGGTGTTTAACACAATAATGATTATGGTAAGTTTGGAAACATGCTCGATTCAAATATCAATATTCAAGTACACAATTGAAAAGCATTTTAATTCGTTAATAATCACGGTTTCTCAAAATTTAGCCCCATTTTCTAGAACTCTTTTTGTCATCCCAGTTCATTTTCAACCATATCCTCTCAATAAATCAATTTTGCACGTGGATTCGTAACTTTTTAATTTTTTTAATCACACATATTGTAAAAAATTATTATTCAAGAAATATGAACGAAACAGTGGTTTAGTTGTTTCAAATATTCCTTCTAGCTACCATAAAAGAACATAGTAGTAAAAATATCACACTTAGATCTTAGGGCTTGTTCGGTAGTGATTATGAGAATTGATTTTCAGATTGTTAGAGAGAGAAGTAAGTCCCACCTGTGGTTAAAGAAGTAAAAAATAATGATTGAAAGAGTGAAATAAAAGTCAAAAAATTGATTTTTTAGGGTGAAAAATTACTACCAAACGGGAGCTTAATTAATTCGGAAAAAAGGCTTTAATTTGTTGTTCCCTTTAGTATCGTTTTCGAGATTGACCTTGATCGAGGGAGCATAATCAACATGTTATCTAAGGAGATGAGAAAGAGGCCATATGCTGGCTAGTTTTACTTCTCACATCTAAAATCAATGACTCATTGTTCTTTTTTTTTCCTTTTCTTTTCAATTTTTTTTTTTTTTTTGGATAACCCTTTTCTTTTTTTCATATTTATAATTTCTCACGTGCTTGAATCTCGAGAATTACTATGGCCTTCGACATCTTTTCAGACATTTATTTAGAAATTATCAAATCATTATCCCCTTAATTGTCCTACAAAAGATCTGGTCCTCCCATCCTATGCTAAGTTGGAGAACTTTGTAACTTCCAATGGGTACTACCATCCAAAATCCATCTCCTCTACTCAGCATATTTATATATCACTCTCCCATTCTACATTCCAAACTGCAAATGAGCAGATAACAAGAAAAGGAAAAAGACACAACAGATAAAGAAGAAATGGCAAATAATAAGCCACATATTCTAGTCCTCCCTTTCCCTGCACAAGGCCACATAAATCCAGCATTGGAATTCTCCAAATGCCTAGCCTCACATGGTCTAAAAGTGACCATCATTTTAACCAGTCGAGCTAGCAAATCTGCACAAATTGCATCGAACAGCTCAATTTATGTTGAAACTATCTCTGATGGCTCAGAGGAAGGTAAAGAACCAGAAAGCATCGAAGACTTCTTCAAGCAGTTCAATGCAGCAGTTTCACAGAACTTGGCCAAGTTCATTCAAGAACAAAGAGCTACTTGCCCGGCTAAGGTTCTAGTGTATGACTCTATCATTCCATGCGCTTTGGATGTAGCACATCAGGAAGGCCTACTTGGAGCTTCATTTTTCACTCAGGCTAGTGGTGTTTGTGCTATTTACTATCATATACACCAAGGGTTGATAAAATATCCTTATGAAGATTCGGAGTTATTCTTGCCTTCCATGACTCCACTCGAGGTCAACGATTTACCTTGTTTTTCCTTTATACCGGATCCAAACAATACTGTTGTCAGGCTTCTTGCGGATCAATTCTCAAATCTGGAGGCAGCGGATTGGATCTTTATCAACACGTTCGACAAGCTGGAAAATGAGGTAAAGACATTTAAATGTGTAAACCATAATAAAAAGTTTAAAGCAGATCTATTTGCATTCAGAAGGTTTGCAGATTGTCATAGAAAACTGGATATATATAAATTGAGAAGTCATCAATCACGTTTAACATAGGAAGCACATTGCCCACCTCTACATTTCCCCTCTATACTCTAGAGGCCATTAGGACCAAGCACAAGTGTATTATGAACTTCAGAAATCTCTCTGACTTTTCTCTCTCCCAAAATATTAAGCTCGAAAAACTACATCCTAAATTATATTGGAATTAAGGAATGTGGAAATTTAATCAGTCAAACAATTGATAAGTTCCCCTTGGTATCTTACAATCTTTTTTGCTATGCTTGTATCAGGTTCTTAACTGGATGGTAAGCCGGTGGCCATTTAAGACTGTTGGACCAACTTTTTCATTAATATACCCTGGAAAGAAACTTATGACCGAAAAGAACCATAAGATTAATCTATTCGAACTAAATTATGAAGCAAGCATGAAATGGCTGGACTCGAGAGAAAATGGTTCTGTTGTTTATGTCTCATTTGGAAGTGTGGCCAACGTCAAAGAACAGCAAATGGAAGAACTAGCACAGGGACTAATATCGAGCAACTGCTATTTCCTATGGGTGGTCAGATCTTCAGAAGAGCATAAACTTCCGCAAAACTTCACTTCCATGGCATCAGAGAAAGGTTTAGTGGTGAATTGGTGTCCCCAAACTGAAGTCTTGACTCATCGTGCAGTGGCGTGCTTTATGACACACTGTGGATGGAATTCTACACTTGAGGCATTGAGTTCTGGGGTTCCACTTATAGCCATGCCACAGCTTGTAGATCAAATGACCAACGCGAAATTTATTGAGGATGTATTTAGAGTAGGGCTACGCGCTGAGACAGATGAAAATGGGTTAGTTAGAAGAGAAGAAATTGAAACATGCATCAAACAAGTTATTCAAGGAGAAAAAGGGAAGAAGCTCATGGAAACTGCTGGTAAGTGGAAGGAATTGGCTAAAGAGGCCGTGGATAAAGGTGGAAGTTCTGCTACCAACGTTGAAATTTTTGTTTCAAAACTTCTGAATCTGTAACTTGTCCTTTAAAGATAGTAACTAGGAGTGAAAATTATTTCAGAATTACAGGTAAAGATTTGGAAAGAACTAGAAATAATTGGAGGCCTTAAAATCCAAACATAGCTGTTGTTACTTTGACAAAAAGATAAGTCTCTTTCTTTTCCTCTTGGACTGTTAAAATCAATTTGCTGATGCCAATAGACAATGTTGTTTGGGAAGCAAATGTTTGGTAAGTGTGTTTTCCAAGCTTATCTCAGCTACTAAATTTGAGTACTATTAATTAAATGGAAGGACTTCTGCTCATATGTGTGTGTGTGTCTTTGAAGAAAAAACCGGATTTGGAGGTGAATTGAGAAAAAAGGGAGATCACTTGGAGCTTAATTGAGTGGTAAAGATGGAACTGAAGAGCAACTGGGAAGCATGGGCAGGATTGGAAGCTTTGAAAGTGACAATGGGATGAATTTGCAAGTTTTCGGACCAAATTCAGCATTTGGAAAGTTCGGAAATCAACTTGACCACTCTCTAAGCTTTTGAGGGTCAAATTTGAAGGAAAAAATTGAATGAATTTGAAGGATGAAGGATGAATACAGAAGCAATTGGATGTTGGAGGACCTAATTTGGATGATAAAAAATGGAAGGATCAAAGTATGAAAACTCGAAAGGGGATTAAACTTGAATGAAACCACGGACTCGGAACAAAAGTATACAGAAGCTGAAAAGTAGAGGGCGGCCATCCCGGGAGAATTTTCTGTTTTGATGGGCAATAAACAGAGCTGGACCTGATGGGAGGCCCAAGAGGCCTCCGCCTCAGGCCCAGAATTTTAGGGGACCCATTTTTTACTTTTTACCTTTTTTTTTAAATCCACTATGCCCATGTGTTCAAAAGAAACGAATAAATACTTTAATAAGAAGAGAAGAAAGGAACACCGAAAAATTTATTTGTTGTTTTACTGTTGATTTAAGTTAACAAATTTAATTCCGTAAACTTCTAATTTTTATTTTATTTTTTTTAAAAATGAATTGTTTGCTACGACTTAGGGCCTAGGGCTCAAATTCCGAAGTTTGCCTCAAGCCCCGCGAAACATAGGTACGGCCCTGGCAATAAATGGCATGTGAATAGAACATTGCATGACAAAGTTCAACAAAATGATGCTACTAAAACCAACAGATTACCAGATGCTGATTGTCGAAGCCTTAAGTCAGGGAACCATAATTTTAATCTTCTCTACTTCGCTTAGGCTATGATTTCTCAATTTCGGAAAAAATTAACAGAGAAACATAAGGAAATACAGATGCAACAATGCGTGCACACTAAAAGTTTTTCCTTTCTGGTAAACGAATCCCTTTCGATCACACTTTTCTATAACAGGGGAGAGAACAGGACTGCTGTAATGCAGGTGTATTAAGAAATTAGAAGGGTGCTTACTTCAAATGAGATTCTTGATACATCAGATAAATAATTACAGCACGTCTCACACAAACTGCATCCTTCTTGGCCTATGACAGAAAATATGAAAATGAAAATGCCTCCAAAAATCACGATACACACACACACACACACAACCATTACTTCAGATCTTGAAGTACTTACAGCCTTTGACAACTTAGATGCATGTTTTCTTGTACCTTGTTATACACTTCTCTCCAGCATATAAAATATCATAAATGCATGTTAAAGATGAAAGAATCCAACATAATCACCTATTAAAAATAAACCAAATATTGTACAGTTACATTGCAACTTAAACTACATGGAATGTCTCAGCAACATAAAAACCAAATCAGAAAATGTAAAAATTCTAGCATCCATGATGCATGAAATAAAGTAGAAAGAAATGTCAACATTCTTACAAATCCAGGAACGATAGCGACTTCCATCACAGTAATGAACCCATGGATGGAGATTATGTTATTACATGATAAAAGACCGAACCACATTCAAAA